TTCAGACACATCTGCTACCAAAGACTGAAAACTGCAAAGACACATTGGTCTGACGTAAAACAACCAGTGACCTCAGTCTGACAGACGAGCGCAGGACGCCGTCCATGACTCAAAGGCCTCGCCTGCAGATCCCAGTTGCCATCTGAACACTCACCAGCACACCAATCCGAGAGCGGAGCCCCGGGGCCAGACATGCAGCACCGCCACCACCTGGTCAAGACTTCATGCCTGTATCAAATCAAATCAAGTTTATTGTCACCTTGCTGTACATACAACAGTAGCACAGGCAAGATGAAAGAGCATTTCTACAGTATCCAATAACTAAACATTTGAACAATAAGTGGTATGTCCAAAATTATTCATAAGCAATAAGCAAGAGAAAAGCCTGTCAGCCTTGAGACGTTGCCACCAGCGTGGCCCAGATTCTCCAGGATGTCCTTGGTGGTGATCTTTGGATTCTTCTTCACCTCTCTCACTATCCTCCTGGTCAGCACAGGGGTCCCTTTTGGCTCCCGACCACATCCTCTCAGATTTTCCACAGTGTGGAACGTCTTGTATTTTTAATAATACTTTAGACTGCAGCCACTGGAACTTGAAAACACTTAGATGTGCCTTAAATCCTTTTCCTGACTTGAGAGCAGCTGCAGCTCCTCTGTCTGAGCCATGACTGTCCACAAACCGACTGCAGAGAGCTGCTGTTATTCACCCGTTGATTAAAGCAGCTGTTCCCAATCAATCAGGGTAATTAGGATGCTTTGGAACACCTTGGACTATTTGGAGTGGTACAGATCCTTGGATTGTCCCATAGACCAGGGGTGTCCAATCCTGGTCCTCAAGGGCCACAGTCCTGCATGTTGTAGATGTTTCCCTCTTCCAACACACCTGATTCAAATGATCAGCTCATCATCAAGCTCTGCAGAAGCCTGATGACGATCCTGATTGGACCAGGATTGGACACGCCTGCCATAGACTGACAGTTGGTATGAATAATTCTGGACATGCCGCTTGTTGCTAAAATGTCAATAAACGGAGAGATTTTTTTTTTTTTTTCACAGTGATGCCTCTTGTCCATGGTCTTTTGGGAGAAGCCTGTGTCATTTCCAATAAAAAAAATAAATTATAAAAGAAACTTGCTTGTTGAATGAAAGTGATGAAGTGAAAATTTGCCAGGGGTATGAATAATTTTGGTCTTGGCTCAAAGCTGCTGCAACAAAAGAAGACACACCAAGTATCAGAACTAAAGCTTGTTTTTATTCACTTAAATTAAACCACATTAAAGCTTAACCAGTATGGGGTTGTGAGAATACACAGTCAGTGGTGTATGTGTGATGTATGTCTGTACAAGTGTTGCAAATGAAGAAACTAACCCACAACCAGACGGCTGTGTTACCTGCAGAGGGAAGCAGAGAGTGATTCGACTGCAGTCAGCCCTGAAGTGACCCAGGAACACACTGGGAGTCACAGGTTCTCCTGATGACATCAAACAGCCTCACACAGAACCAATAGATGAACTAGAACCACCCACAGATGACCTCAGGGGTCATCACACTGTATATTCTTCTTCACTTTCACTGTAAATCGTAGAGTGTTGTGCTTCTGCAGTCATGTGCAGCAGGAGTGTGTACGCCTCTGTGCACCATCACTTCACTTCACAGATCAGAGGGAGGGAAGTTCAGCTGATAGTATCCACCAGATAACGTGTTGTTGATGAGATGAGCTCAGAGGAGGAGGAGGAGGTCTAAGTTTGCAGTTCAACAACCAAACATGTTGATTTGAATAGAAACATTCATGAAATGCAAAGTGACTTATGCTGTTTGTTTTAAGGTTAAATATGATGAAGAAAAACATGCAGACTCAGAATGCTATTATTGAAACATCTTGGAGATATTATAATAAGAAATATTACATTGAGCACAGCAGGATGATGAGATTAATTAATCACATCACAGACACAACGCCATCAAAGGAATGAAGCATTCAGTCGTTCCATCCTGTGTTCCTGGAGCCTTGATCTCCTCCTGTGTCCTCTCCTTCCAGCTTGTTGTTCCATGTTTCCTCCACTGGAGGACAGTGTCAGACACAAACATCAGGGTCTTCAGTCTCATCAATCAGCTGCACTGATCAGCACTTCATGCTGCACACTGACCATGAGCTGATGTGAGCACAGAGAGGAGGAGACAGCGTTAACATTAGCTTCCATGTGCTCCTATCCAGACAAAATGTTTGGTCAAGAAACTGTGTTCAAACCTGCACAGTGATTCATCTGCTGCTGTTTGATCTTTGCTACTTGAATCACTATACACACTGGATTTTATTTAATTGTTGTAACAACTGCAACACGTAGATTGGAGTTTTTATCCAAAAAGTAAATAAAGTAATTTATTAGTAGCAGATCTAACATTGAAAAGCGTCATTTTCAGTGTATCTGGAGCTGTAATTAATGGAAGCAGTGGCTACTGGAGGAACAAAGGTCCAGAATGTGGGAAAAAAAAAACACTGTATTTCTGTCAAATCTTTTCCAATATTGGATTTGTTGGAATCTGTTTTAACTTTAAATTCATATTCTTCTCAACATTTTGACTTTTTTTTTTTTGTCAAACCTGAGATGTGCTGCTTGATCAGAAAACTTCAAGTTCATTTAAAAGGTTAAACTGAGAGCAAGAAATCCTGTTGTGTTCATTAAATCCAAACCTTATTTCTGCAATTTAGAGGAAAAAAATCACAAGAATTTACTCCAGACAGGAGAAATAATCTGCTTCTAGTTGCTTCTGTGAGTCAGACGACACTTTTGAGGACGGATTTATCGTCTCCATGTCGCCACCGAGGAGAAACAGGTGAAGCTTGAGTTACATCCAGACAACAAACTGCACATTTCTCTGCCTGTTGCAGTTCAGAGACAGTCATCAAAGGCAGAACAACACCAGACCAGAGCAGTTTAACGACGACTCCAGACATTTATTTGACTATCGTTGTCTTATCGTGGATATTCTGACACGTGTGTTGTTTAACGTCTGTCTGGTGCTGCTCTGTTGTTGCTGGATGTGTCAGCTGACTGAGTGTCTCTCAGTAAATCTGTCCTGCTCGTTCGTCACTTCCAACATGTTTGTGAAACTCATCATCAGGCTGCAGAGCTTCTTCAGCCAAGTCTTCTTCTTCTTCTTCTCTTTGCATCAGAGCGTTTCATTCAGTCATATTCACTTTCATCTGGTTCTGGTTTCAGCTCCTGATCCGATTTTTCTCCTCCGTGAAAACCAGACGAAGAGAGGAAACAGAGGTTTTTTTAATTTGGTGAACTGAGCTGGAATCACAGGTGTGATCATAAACAGTGTTTTTGCTTTTTGGTTGCAGTGACGACACAACAACATGTTCTCTGAGACTTTGAGAGATTTTTTCATGAAACAAAGCTGCTTTTGTTTTGTTTTTTTACAGCCTTTTCAAGGAATCTCTCTCAGAGTTTTAGTCTGCTGTTTGTATTTCTAACTTTTATGATTATTTTATTATTTGAAAATAAAGTTCAAGTCAAAAAGACTCACTCGGTTATTTTATTCCTGAAATGTTTGACAATGTTTGTGTGGTTGTTCTAAATACGACACATTCTTCCGTGTTTCCTGATGACACTGGGACTAAATGTGTCGTCTACGTGGATCATCTGGTTTTAAATGACACAGCATCAAACATGACAACAAACATCCAGAGAGAGAATCTTCAACTAATTCATGGAGAAAACCTTCAAAACCAGCATCAGCAGCTTCTGTTTGAGCCTCACATTAAAAGTTCAGCCTGTCGTCATGAGTTCAGATCAACTCCAACATGACAGAGTGCAGAGACGGCCCAGAATAAAGCTGCTTTGGTTTGTATCTGGTTCCAGAAACCACCAGTGATCTCTGTGATTATTGTCTGCAGTGAGTTCAAGAACTGATTCAGCTCACCTGGATCCACAGAGTCCTGCATCCTGAATCCACTGGACAGCCACAACAAACCCAACAATCAGCATCAGCTGGAGCTGATCCACCTCCACTTCCTCCCATCCAGCCTCCATCCAAACCAGGAGGCGCCTCCTGCTGGTCAGAGGTGGAACAAAACTCAGAAAACTCCTGAAGGACACGTCAGCAAAACTCTCCTGACTCCTCTGAACGTCCGTTTATTAAAAATTTTTTACAACTTTTTAGAAGAAAACACCTGTGTTGTCCAGTTTAGTGACTGAGAAGACCATTGATGAGGATAAATTACAGACAAATGACAGAACAGAAAAGACTGAAATGCTCTCAGAAAACTTGTAAAAATCCCCTATTGGTCCCTGAATGGAGGTTCAGGTTTCCAGAAACATTTACTCCTGGTTACAGCCTGAAGAGGACGCTGCTGCTCCCTCACTGGAGACACACTTTGACTGATAACTACTGACAGATGAAGACAAAGTACAGAACAAATGGCTGAACGCAGCAGCTACAGTCAGTGACTTTATGCACTGTTGGATGAATTCATCTTGAAGATGTCACACAAATGCTGTGCAGTAAAACCAACATGTTTTTGTGGCATGTGGTGGAGTTTAAAGTACCATAAAACTGAATTACTGACTAACTTCTCAAGCACAAGGACATTAAAACTAAAACATTTAAAAACTTATGACAAAAAAATGCACCTGTCAGTACATACAGCTAAATTGCATTTGATCATTTCTATGAAGTGGTACATAACCATCATCATGTGCAATGATCCACATTCTGATGAATTCATGACATGGACAATGATTTCTGCATGTTTTGCTTTGAATAGGAAATGAATAAGATCCAGCTAATTGTAGAACTTTGACCTGAACAGAGGATGTTTTTCTGAATCTGATGGAGAATCCTGCTGCTTTGGAAAAAGGACCTGAACTAGTTTGAAGAACACAAAAACAAACTCTGAGGTGTGATGAAGAAAGTCAGCAGGAAAGCAGCTCCTTCCTTTACAGTCTGAGTCCTGGTGCTTTGTTCTTCATAAAGACACATCACTGCTCTGAGTTCTGGTTCAGCATCATCATTTTTATTCATTTGTTTTTATCATTTATGTGATACCAGCTACATTCAATGCAGCAGCAACAACCAGGTGAAGTACATGCAGATGTAGAGTACAATCTTTATACTTAAATCTATATGTCTCCCTCATAGTGCACAGGGGAACCTCCTTCACATTTAACTGTAATTTTTTTTTCCATATGTTTACCTTCGTACCTACAATTGAATACATTGCTTCCGTCAAAAAGCACACATTCAACAATGTGAAACCCTTTTTTACTTCGTATTTTTTTATTTCTTTGACCTTTACAAATTGATTTTACCATTTCTTTAGGTTGGGCAAGGATGAACGTATTTTTTGGTTTACACATTCTGACACGTTTAACATAAACAAAGATACTTCTATTTTTCATCACGTGATTGCAATCATTCTCAGTCATATTGTTGATGATATGCTTTTTTTTAAACTTTTCATAGCTTCTTTTCCACTTCTGTCTTTGTTGCCTCTGTCCTGTTGCGAGCCCAGAGACAAAGAGCAGCACCAGCAGCAGGAAGGCAGAAGACATCTTCATTATTCCCTGATGAATGAAAAACAGGAACATTTTTTTGAAGTTGAGAAAAAGTGATAGCATCCAGTGTTTTACATCCTTTGGCAGGAACACAAAAAAAACTACAGAACAAGAAGTACACAACATGAAACAACACATTACATGAAAGTCCATCAGTGTGAGATAATGAATAAACACAATCAACAAAAGGCCATACCTGTTGTGACTCGATTGTACTGACTTCTGTTAATCCTAACGAGCTGCCTGGATGGGCCTGGGGTTCTCTGAGAAGAGGAGGCACAAGATTATGATCATTTTAAACATCGGGCATGCGTCAGAGTTAAAAAGAAAACGGACAACATTGAGGACATTACACTTTCTTTTGAGGACATTGAAGTGCCAGTGGTCTCTTGGCTTTTTTACTTAATCCTTGAAGGATGTGTTTATAGAGTGAGCACAGGCTTGAGTGTTGTCACATCTGCATGAGTCGGCTAAAAATAGGTTATTAACAAATGTACTAAATGGAATAGAACCTGGAGGAACTCCTGCTGTACAACCAGAAAAGGAGAAGCACACGCTACCCACTTCTTTGCATTGTTTTTTCTCGTTTAAGCAGGATTCCATCCAGGTCTGGACTTTGATGAATAAATTCAGCTTACAGAGCTTTATTAATAATAATAATAAAATGGTTAATTGTGTGAAGTGTCAAGTTATTCAAATGTTTTAAAAGAAACACCTTTATCAAGACAACTTTTGATTTGTTCAACAACAGAATAGTTTGCTGAAAGTACACTTCAGGAAACCAAACTGCAAGTGAGTGTAGCTTCATTTTCCATCGTTTAAATGTGAGACTAGCAGTTGATCAGACGGGCAGGAGGATCCAGTCTGTAGAGCCCACAAGACCTCATCAGCAACAGCAGCCAAACACACAGAATCAGCTGGATGAAGACAATTCATGGTCTCTTTGTTGGTGTTGCTGACATCATTGTGTCTCCACTTTCATTTATTTTTTGATAATGCAGCAGTGTGACCGTCGTTGTCTTGATGCAGCTGTAAAAAATGCTGCAGACTAACCGTGGAAGGTGGTCGGCAGTGAAACTGCTTTACGGCTGTGGAGTCTCATTTCTGCTGCTTCTGCTGGAACTAAACTAACGGCAGCTGGACAGAGTGAAAAAAAGTTGCTCACTTACCTTCAGACGACGAGAAGAGAATGAGACACAAAGGCTCAAGAGGTGGAAGTAAAGAAACGCTGCGTCTCCTTCTAGATATATGAGCTGTACTGTATCGTATGATCTGTGAACTTGTCTGACATGTATGTTTTGCATGAACCATTTTCATAACTGACATCGAGCAGCTGATTTGTGTTCAGATAAAGTTTCACCTTCATTTGAATTACAGGTTTTGTTCGTCCACCTAGAATTTCCTTCAGTGAAGAATCTTCAGCAACTGGGGCCTCCAACAGCCACATCCAGATCAATGGACCAACCAACCAACCTGAGTAAAGCATTCACATCAAAGTACTGTCAGCATTAAAACTACCCAGCTTCCTATAAAAGTACATGCGCTGATGAGCCTTCTTAATGTACAAATATCTTGCCATAGTATTTATAATTACTGACCAGCTCCACTGCCTGGTTCTCAGTGCTGACAGGACACATGTCTGGAGGATTCTTCTGGAAGTCAATAAGCATTTCTTTTGCTTTTTCTGTGACTGAGTATAACTGAGTCGTCCGATAGTTTGACAATGCGACACCCTACAAGTCGTCATTAGTGTACAAAACGAATAATAAGGGTGAAAGGATGTAGCCCTGGGGTGATCCAGTGGAGGAGACGAGAATGTCTGACAGAACGCCATTAACTCTCCCTCTTAAAAAATCAGTCAGCCAGGCTAGAAGACCAGGATCCATGTAATCTTTCTGCTAAAATGTGTGGCTGAATGCAGTTAAAAGCAGATGAAAAAAATCAATGAATAAAAGACGAGTGAAGGACCTGGCTCCCTCAAGGTGGCTTAAAACCAAATTCAGCAGGGTTCCTACTGCGTCTTCAATACCTCTGTCTAACCTGTAAGCGAACTGCAGAGGGTCCAGAGGATCCTGGACACAGGTCAGAAGTGTCCTTGACAATTTCCAAGTGGTCTGAGAAATCAGACCACTTGGAAATTGCTCAGTGGTCTGAGAAATCAGACCACTGAGCACTTTGAACACTTTTTTAAAAAGTTAATGTTACTGAGTTTATTTTTTACTCAGCTGCAGTCTCAGGACCACAAACACACTTCTAGAGTTTTTCTGTCAAGACTTTGCCACCTACACTAATAAGCAATCACTGAAGTGCTGCTAAAGTGTGATTCCACTCAAAATATTACTTATAATTGAAAGTAACTGAGTATTCCACACAAAGTCTTTCTTTATGTCCAAGTAACTCTAATTTTAAAGGTTTATTTCCCCCAAATTGTGTTTCTCAGCAAACGAGTTAAGGTTTGAAAGGTTTATTTCATCCAAAATACTCCTTGTTATAATTATAATAATAATAACTTGGTGGCAAAGGTTTGCATTTGGACAAATTATGCATTGATCATACTTACATCATTATCAGGTAGAATAATAACAGAAACATCTGCTTGTGGTCTCCAGATGTCAAACAGGACCATTTGAAAGGTTGGAAAAAGGAAAAGGGCAAAACACAAGGTGAACTCTGGGGGTAGAAATATATATATATATATATTTATATATTCATTTTATACAGTTTATAACAAAAGCACACACACACACACACACACACACAAAACTTGTGACTCCCACGACCTCCTGAGACACACACAGATCAACATTAACATGCATAAGTAGACACAGCATTGATATATCAAAGAAACTAGCTCACAAAATCTATTTTATTTTCAACTTTTCATGCCACTGATCCTCCTCTTGCAGTGAGTACCATCTATCTCGTCTCCAGTTAAAAACATCAGTATTTTAGTGGAGCAGAGCTGCAGCATGCAAATGACTCCTGGTTGACACATAGTCATAATGAGGTGCGTTTCAGTCACTGTTTCATATTTATTCTGTTGTCTGGTGACAGAAGAAGAGCAACAGCTTCAGATATATCTCAGCTGCTTTTGTTTTGCACCTCTAACTACGTAACAACCACAAAACACACTGCAAATGGATTTTCAGCACTCGACCTCTGAACATCGCAAGACCCCTTGAACTCCACCGCACTTGGTACAGTCCGACCCCTCTTCTGTAAATCTAATTGGATTCTCCCACTTCATGATCACTCACCTGGCCTTTCACCTGGACTGGTTTGAATGGGAGCAAACGTTTGAGTAACTTGAATGTGATATCGACTAAAGAGGCTGGATTTGAATGTAGAGATAAATGAGACTCAACGTTCAGTTCTGTTCTTCTGGTAACTTGTAAATTATGTCACAAGTTATCTGAAGAACTGATAACTTGTAAATTATTTCAGTGAGTTCAGCGGTTCAGTTGGTACGTTCCACCTCACATGTTCTGTTGTTCAGCTGCTTTGTTTCTTATCCAGGTGGATTTAGGGTTTACTGGATCTAATGTCTGTGTGTTTGTTCTCATTGAGTCCAAAGAAGTCTCAGATCTTCTCAAGTCTTTCAGCCGAACACCAGAACATGAGGTGAAACAGGCTCGTTTCTGCTGGATTCAGCTGCACACTGAGATAATTTACAAGTTCATCAACGTCTCATTTATCTATATGTTCAAACTCTGTGGCTTACTGATATCAAATATACCAAATGTTTGCATGTGCTCCTGTTCAAACCAGTCCAGGTCAAACTTAGAAGACGGTTCAGGAGAATGAACAAGTTTCCCTGCTGGAGGGAAAATGTTCCGTCATGTTGAACTACATGAACTGTCCCTAATATTTGTCCACCCCATAAAACCTCTTCGTCAATTCAGCTTCAAACAAACTCACCTGAATGTCACATATTTGGTGTCATTCTGTTTCTTTATGTATATTTAATGCTGCCTCCTGGATTTCACAGAAATTTGAGCCGAGCAGCTCTGGACCAGCTCAGCTTCACCCTCAGAGCTGCTGTCAGCTGCAGAAACAGGAGGAGAGACTCAAGCTTCAACGTTCTGCTCTTCACAATCACACTTTCAGGGCTTTATATGAGCACAAATGCAGCAGGATGTGTGTGTTGTCAATATTTGTCACTGGAGTAACCAGAAAAGAAAAGAACAGGACACAAAGCTTCATCTATAAAAGTTTGTTTTATTTCATCCCAAGAAGTAAAAAAATAGAAAGATAATACAGCTGCACACATTTAAAACATTATTCATAAAAAACAGACAAATAAATGACAAAAAAATACATTAATGTAGATCAGCATCAGTAAAATTTTGTTTGCACTTTTAAACAGGGTTTAAACCCTCAGCCGAACCCCACCAGGCTGTCACTGACTCCATGATGGAGCAACCACCAGGGGGCAACAAAACCCACTGTAGTGTTTGTGAAGAAGTTGGTTGAATCAATGAATACACACATTAAATTAGAATTTACAAACCATAATAAACATTATGGAATGTTAGGATTTGGCGTTTCATCTTTTTGATATTTTACTGGAAAAATAAAAGTAAAAATAAATCATGATTTCTAATTACAAAATGAGTCAGCTGCAGTTCTCCATCAGTCACAATCTGGAGCTGCAACACTAAACTACACAATAACAACACGCTGGACACTGGTTCCCAGTCCTCCTCCCAGTATCAAGGCCCAGTCAGAGTCTCTGGACACAAACTGCTGCTGCTTCAGCCTCTGGATCATCAGGACACACTTCATCCTCTCAGCACACACAGCGTCCTGATCAGCATCACTTCCATCTGCAGAGAGAAGAAGAAAGAACAGAGATCAATGAGTTTGATCAGCAGCTCATCAGGATGAAGAGCAGCAGCTTCACGTTGACGTGTTGGAGTGAACACACTGAGCTCACACACCTGCACACACTGTCAGCATCAGGTGTGTTTCTACACATTTCACTGCGTCCACAGTGGAAACAAACTGCTGACAGTCATCAAGCTTCATTACTGCACAAACTCTTCACTCATGATTTCCTGCTGTTCCATTTGATTGAACAGTCTCTGTGTTTCCATCAACATCTCATCTGTTCTTCAAATATCAGCTGACAAACCGACACGGAGGCTGTCAACACATCTGGATGTAATCAGACACAAGGCCACACATACAGATGTGTGTGCTGGACCTGAGCAGAGCTTCTGCTCTGTACAAAGACCACATGGTTACGAAGGTAAATAGAACATTTCTGAAGAAATTGTGAATGTGCCAATGCAGCTACTGAGAGTTGATATGTCCTGGTGTGATGATACATAAGGTATAATTTATCTAAGTACGTTTTATTTTGAAAAGCCAGCAAAATTCACAAACCCTGATCAGTTCTTTTTGACATCTCTCAGCTTTTACTTTGAAAGTGTAGCACACTTCAGAGAAGTCTGAGGTCTTTTTGTAAATACCAGTGTTTTTCATGATCTGTGGAATTGAGAAAATAAAATAAAATAAAATCACACTTTTAAATCCAGGCTACAGTGGAGCTGCTCACGAGGTTCTCTTACTGGGTATAGACTCTTATTTTGAATTGTTTAGATGGTTTGTCCATCACTCTGTGTGTGAGAAAGAAACAGAAAGAACTACTGTTTGGTGAGCTCCTTTGACATTCCCTGAAATCAGAGCCGGAGGTTTGCAGCTTCAGTCACACTGATCTCAGAGCTGTGACCAACATCCAGCTGATCAGCTGATCGCTGCTGAAAGGAGACAACGAGCAATGAGATCAGATCTGATGGACTCTCTGATGGAGGAGGACCACTGTGTCTGCACATCTGGAAGGCTGTCAGCTGGAAGCAGCTTTATTTCCTCAACACATCGACACAACAGCAGTCGACTCAAACCCATGATGACGACCATCTTGTGGCTCATCTGATTGGCTGACTGCTGTCTCTGTTCTGTCCAATCACAAGTCTTTCACCATTCTGCTCTCACAGCTTCACGGAGGAAGAGAAGCCACTGAGAAGCTGCAATGAATCGCTGCTGCAATACTCAATAACAGCAGAGAGTGACTGTAACCTTCTACTGACCTCAGATTCTTCAGGCTGCAGTGTGGACAGCCCAGAAAGCCATTCATCTCTTTCACTGCTGATTCCTGCAGGTTGTTTCCACTCAGGTCCAGATCATTTAGATGGCAGGGGTTGGACTTCAGAGCTGAGACCAGAGAACCACAGCTGACCTCTGACAAACAGCACTCGCTCAGTCTGAATAAAAAGATGTAGATAAAATCAGTGATGATCCATCAGATGTGTTCAGGTTGTGGATGTGCAGCTCAACATGACTTTGTCCTCATCAGTGAGCTTCTCTCTACAATCAGCAGAGTGACTTTGTCCTTGTGTTATTGTGGATCATCATCATGTCAGCTTCTACACACATCATCCAGATGTCAGCACAACATCCATCCAGCTGTTCATGTCCACACACATCAGCAACATGCTGCAGCATCAACAGGATCAGTATCAGTGAAATCAAATTGAAGTGAACAAAAACCAAAGAAATATTTGTACTTCAGTCACTAAACTGTATCTGTTCAAACTAATTTAAGTTTAGAAGAACATCTGTATCCAGATGTGACTTATGAGCAAAAATGAAAAACATTCACTGATTTTAATCACTAACACTGAACATTTTCTACAGTTTCTGCTACAAACACTTGTCTTTTATCACAAAACACTAAATTTAGGACAAAAAAAATTTTTTTTTTTTGAAAATATATACAACAGCAAATATACAGCTTGGATGGAAGTTCTACAAACATAAATGACGCACATAAAATGCACAGCAGTTACAGACAGTCAGCGAACTGACCTCAAAGTCTTCAGTTTACAGGCTGGATTCTCCAGAAAACCACACAGATGTTTCACTCCTGAATCCTGCAGCTGGTTCTTACTCAGGTCCAGATGTTCCAGATGGGAGGGGTTGGACTTCAGAGCTGAGTTCAGAGAGTCACAGCTGATCTCTGACAAACTGCAGCTCTCCAAACTAAATAAAGAATAAAAGATACAGATAAAGTCATTGGTGAGTCAATCAGATGTGTCTAAAATCAGTAGAGTGACTTTGTCCTTCTGTTATTGTGGATCATCATCATGAAATGTCAGCACAACATTCATCCACCTGTTCACACTTTTACAGTTTCTGCTACAAACACTTGTCTCTTGTCACAATACAAGAAATGTTGGACAAAAAACATGAACAAAAGCAGATTTACAGCTTCATAGATAAAAATTCTATAAGAACAT